TTTACCGTTTTATTCGCTCCAATAAAACACCGAAAGCAACGTTCAAGGACAAACGGTTCCAATTAAGCATAGTGAGCAAGGCGAAAACTGAAATACTGCAGTTTCATCTAACAGTTGCCTTCGGAGTTAGAATGAGTGACCTCCAAAGCGGAGAGTGAGGTCCATCGATGAAGAAATACTATTGAAAGGGATTTCACAGAGGTTCTACAGTATAACATAACATAAAAAGGAGATCAGGCAACCTTTTCAACAATAATAAATTAAACAATAATGAATCAATCAACTACGATGAAATAAATAATATCCTCAAAGAGATCTATCAACAAATCGGTCAAATTTGGGATCATAACCAAAATTTCGATTTTGAACGCGAACTGAATCAAGATGAGCTGCCGAGATTCGTGTTGGAGAGAGATAATGATAATAATGAGGGTGATAATAATAGTAATAAAATAAATAATAATAATAACAAAACAGAAGACAACGAAATATGATGAAAAATGACGATGTTCGATGCATATCTAACGTCAGCACGAAATGCCGAATTGATCCCCGTGAAGTGCTCTTCTTGACCTAGTGATATATTTATTATTATCATTATTGTATATCATAATTTACCATTTTATGTAATAATATTTAATTAAATATTTTGTTGTTTTTAATTCATAAATAAATAAAACATCAAATAGCATATATAGTCAAACAGAAGAGGCGAGAATCGTGCTGATGAATTCGCAAAACCACGATCCCATTTTATTAATTTGTGATGTTTTGGAGAAAATAACTGCAGCCAAACTGACAGATCATTTTACAGAGCACTATGTGCGTGAATGTTTGTATGCAAATACATGATTCAGATAGCTAACGCTTGCCTAGATGTTCCTATTCAAAAAATATTTGTTGCGTTTGTGAAGAAATTCATTGGTATTGGGTATTGTCGGTGGGTTCGTGAATGGTGAGTTTGGTTTGGAGCTATTTCTGTGGAAATAGTCATCTTTGTCAGTACATCCTGACGATAACGAGTCTGATGGTGTACGAAAGGCGGTGTATCACTGAACCAACCTGAGTCAGTGTGTTTTATGTTGTATTATCTCGCCTATAGGAACACGATTTTTAGTCTCGAGCGTTTTTGGAAGGCACCTCGCAATCCCTGAATTAAGTCATTTAACACTTTTCTGTCGTGTGCTGCTGTGCTTCACTTTATTGATGCTTCTTCAATATGAATGAGTTTTTTTAAAGGTAATGTCGAATTCACGACTCCATAGGAATCGACTAAGGAAAGTTACCTTAGGCGTTCCGACCGTCATTTTGCGATAAACGAATTTTTAAATTTCACTATACTCATACAGTCGTTCACGTATGAAAACTCATGTATTCTTGTTTCATGTTTTGCAAATTGTTGTAATCATTTTTTTCTTGTTCATGTATCCGTTCGAAATTAAATGAATACGGATTGAAAGGTAGTATTAATAAAATAGCTATATCTCAACTAAGCCAAATTTCACAGCAAAATATATGTTATTCTGAATCTGGAGGCTCTGTTGGATCGAACGGTGAAAAGAAATTTATAGGTTTCCAGGCAAACCTGAGGAGACGGTTCGTTCGGACATGGCAACACGTATATTGCTATATTAACGTATTGATTGCTCTATGGTGATCAATGTACATGTTTGACGAGCGCGATTGCGCTAACTGAAATAGATCTAAGAAAATTGCTATATCTCCTCAGCTAAGCAAAATCGCTCGGTAAAATATAAGTTTTTCAGCTGGATCGAATGATGCACAAAATTCACTTGTTACTGGGCAAACTTGAAAACACGGTAGTCTTGAAGTTGCCACCCCCATAGCCTTGAGGTAGTGTAATATTAAGAAAATAGATACATCTCCTCAAGTAAGCCAATTTTCACAGCAATATATGTGATATTTTCAAGTAGACATTCCGCTGGATCGAACTGTGAAAAAAATTCATATATTTCCGGGCAAACCTGAGGTCAAGGTGGGTGTGACGATGAAGGATGGGGTGCCTGTGTTGGTTGGCACCTAGGATTTGCACGGGATCCCGGGATTTCAGTTCTGATCCGGTATTTAAGTTTTGAAAAATCCCGGGATTTCGGGATTTGATAAAACAGGTCAATTTGCGTGAATTTTGATAGTTTGCTCATCTTGAAGCAAGCCTTAATCATTCCCATCTCATTCATATGCAGTTATTTTTGCTGTTTGCCCTCTATCAGTGATGACCAACTAAGGAAGTAGACGCTAGTTGGACGAATTCATCGAGCTGTCATGATCAACGACAGCTCGATGAACTTTTACGTAACATTTCATTGAATATTCAACTGATTATTCTGCTCTTCATTGGTTTATATCACGCTCATCTGGATGCATTTCTATGTAGAATGACGGAGATAATCACATTTTCTAATAATAACCAAGAGCAACAAAGTTCAACGAAATTTTGAGTCGTTTTCTCCTACGCGATTTTTTCGGCTCGAATATTCCATCTGTTAATTCAACGCATATTCTAACGACTGCAAGTTTTTTTACTTCGCTATTCGGAAACATTTTCATCCCATCGAAAGGTACATAATTCTCACTGAGTTCACTCGAAAGGTACATAGTGAGAATTCACTGTCGAAGTAAGGAAAATTGTTCCATTCAAAAGGATCTTAAGCTTAACTATCAAGAACATTTCCATGATCTCTGATCGAAATTATGAAACATGTAAGTGCTCGATGGTTGGATGAAAATCCATTGCGGATTTTTTTTCACTTTTTAGATAAACTCTGAACTTTTAATTTCTCAAAATTCAAATGAAATAATTTACGCGATGCATTTCTTTCGTAAAAAATTGAAATTTCCGAAACGGCAGAATTCACCTGACGTTAATGCTGCGAGAAAATGGACTTGAAGCACTGCAAATAAGTGTTTGAGAATCAAGAATTTCATATTCACATGCAGGTTAGACCGAGACGACAAGATGCCTTAGCATAGAAAATGTAGTATGCCCTTATAACCTGATCACTAGCAACCTTATATGAAATATTAATTTGAATTTGAATAATTTGGTTCCTAGAATTTGTTCAATAATTTGTTGAATTAATTCTTTTCTGATTAATAATGAACATATTGGTTTGAAAAAATGTGTTTGAGCATGCCCGCATCGATATTGCAAAAATTGTTCGATCCCGGGATTGCCCCGGGATCAAAAATCGATCCCGGGATTGAAAAAACGTCGGGATTCTGTAAACCCTAGTTGGCACCAGTAATTTTCGGTGCTTTTTGAACGTCTAGGAAGTTGACCCCCGCCTAATATGTCGATGCCAACTTTAAAAATTTCCCCTACTGATGTGATTTAATCATTATTGCAAAAATGTATTCCTTTTCTCAAGCGGTAAGGGTTCCGCTCTTGCCCAGATGCAAGATCAACATTGCAGGTGGAATAAAGCAGATAAAATCGCGAGTTATGAACGAGAGGAAATGAGGCGACTGGGAAAGATGGTGACAGTGGTGTTTGACGAACTTTATGGAGTGGAGGTCTGAAAATGTTGATTGAGAAGACGCGGAAATTTGCTTTGCTAAAATGCTTTGTTTTACTCATGATTCTGAAGATCTAACTGATAGAAATACTGCCATCACTTCCAAAAGATGTACGGATGAACTTCCTTCGCCTCTCTGATAGCCGTATGACTTGATGGAAATTAGAATCATTTTGGGCTGTATTCAAAATGCACTCTGTTAATTGAAGTCTGTTAACAATTCGTGTGTTGCAAAGATACGACATGAAAGTCGACGAAACGGACGGACTGATCGATCGCAGTCGTCATTGAATAGTTTGTTGTTCATTTTTTCGGGCGATTAATAAGCGAACTGAAGTGATGCGAAGTGACAAGGTCATCAATTAATGTTGTGATTGTATTCCTTGTGTGGACATTTTTATGAGATGTTCTCAATACATTTTAGGTCAGCCTATTTGAATTTGTTTTGCATTCTCATTTCAAATCACCACCCCTCTCCTATTGACAAAATCGTTTGCTCCCGTCGCCATGTGCAACGTTCAGTCTGTGATATGCACCGAACCGCTGTCTTTAAATGAGGATTATTCATTTACATCAACTTGTTCGTGTTGTGCAATAGGAACCAGCTGGATTCCACACTTCTCCATTAGAAATATTCACCTCCTTAGTATTTGACCGACTGAATGTTAGAATTTGAACATAACAACCAGCTGAGTGATTTGATGCATCTACCGATTGGTGTGTTGCACGGATCAGGGAATTTCGGAGAACCTGTCCCGATTCCTCATCTCCAACTTTTGTCTAGCCGACCGCGTTTTTGGGATTTCCAACCGCAAAATTTGCACAGAATTCTCGTGGCCCTCCGTTCCCCGAAAAATTTCAGGGAATTCTCTGAATTTTCCCCGACAATTCATTCAGTCAGATCAAAGCATCGTGAAACGTGAAGTCGGAGCAGGTACAGAGAATCGTGGACGGGAATGCCGGCAATGTCTGCATCAGTTTATGCGCTCGCTATTTGGGCGAACTGTGCGAATTGTTCAGTTTAAGTGTTCGAGATGCGTTATAAGAGTTGTTGGTGGTTTTATGCCGTGGTTGGGAGGACGTCTGTGTAGTGACGGCTCAACAGGGAGAAAGTTTTGTCGAGGGCAACGCAACGTGCAAACATTTTCGTTTGTTTGAGGAAACAGCAAACGGCGTTAAGTGTATTCGATCTATATGTGGAGATTCAATGCTTTTCTGTCAGAATATACTCTTTTCAGGGTTCTACTGGCTCCGATTCAAAAGTTCCTGTAGAGAAAAATTTGAGAATTAGGGATAAGATTGAGCATTCTCCCTGAAATTCCCCGCCCTCGATTTCCCGTCCCCGTCACCGACCGTTTCTCGAGCCAGCCGCATTTTCGGGCTCCCTGACTTTTTTCCCGTCTCCGTATAATCCATTACTCCTAACAAAATTTTCAGATCTACAACACCCGTTTAGCGTGCACGATGAATGGAGCAGTCCTTGCACTGTTCAGTTTGCTAAGCAGTGCTTATGCGTTCACGTTACCAGCTGGTTTAAGGCCTGCAAAAGCCGTTGGAGATGCTCGAACAGCAATTGTTCCAGGACAGGATGAGGCACAGGTATTAACTGAAACTATATTGGCATTCTCAACTGATCTTACTCAACATGAACATCAATATCACATCAATGCACGTGAACGATGGTGAACATTCTCTGGTATTTAGCATGGCCAAGTGGTTTTCCTTTTTTGTTTTTGAAAATGTCAAAATATTTCGATGAGCCAGATTTCTCTTGCAATTTTTTTGCGCAATCGGAAATTTGACTATTTTGGCAGCCAACAGCACCGTCGGAAGTCGGATCAAATAAAGCGGATTCACGTGAAATATCCGCGAAAGTGCCACCAAATTTGTCACTGCGATCTCGAATGATGGCTGCGCTCAGTTCACGAGACTCCTCGAAAACAGCAGTGAAACAGGTTGACTCTGAGTTGCGCTTGTTGTTGTTCGGTTGATTGCATTTCCATGTTGATTGCAGTCCACATGAGAACCTCTTCTTGGAAATACCACAACTCTGATAACAATAACCTATAATCAAGTTGCAACTGCATTGTGGATTGGTCAGCCAATTGTTTATCCTTCAGTAACATTTCAAGTGATTTTCTTTATTCGAAATTTACAGGACGAAAGGATCACAAGTGAAAGCGATGCCCAGGTGGTGCCACCCTCACAACCGATAATTTTCACGAAAAATCACAAGAAAGGCTCTCCAGCGGTCCCCAAACCTATTTTCGTCGATACAAGTCGGAACAACGTTCTAGTGGTCGCTAAAGCACCTGGAGTGAGTACAAAGATCCTTTATTCTTACACTGGGATGAGTCCAAACAAAATCCTTTCACAGCTATTTGTAAATTTCTGAGATGAATATCTGCGATTGAACGAGCGCATTCGGGAGGTGTCATTTCAGAAACCGAGCGCAAATAACTATGGACTGAATACGGTGCTGCAAACGAATCTTGTCGATTCACGTGGAAGGGTGATGAAGGGCGTTAATGTGGTGCCAATTAAGGTTCAAGTACCAAATAACCCGAAAAATGGACGTATCAGGTATGACTCTGGCACTTTTGCTCATTCCCATTTTCTTGTTCCGACAGTACACTCATTTTTAACCAGTTGCTGTGGAAAAGCGCAAGTGATATAAGGAGATCCTTCAAGACTCATCAAAAAGCGCATTATTGAAAATGGCCAAGAGTTTGAAGGGACAAGATGTGTCTCGCATAGACTATAAACTAAAAAATGAGAAAGAAACATTTGAAGTGTTAGCGAAACTAAAAGAAAGGATGAGATGATCATCAAAAAATGTTGAATTGTTGGCTGTTCGTCACGTTTCCCATAAAAACGCTATTGTTGTAGGCACACGGCACGTGTTGTGGAAAATGATGCAGATAAAGTGATACCAGTGAAGTTTGGTTCAGCCAACAAACGCACATCGAATGATCGGCTTTGATTTTCGAACGCATTTTTTTTTTGTTGTGAACGGATAGATTTGATCAGAAGTGTTCTTAAATTTCTGAAAAGAATATCTGTGATTGAAGGAGTTTTAAATTTTTAGATTTGGTTTTAAATTTTTTCATGAAATTATTTGATAATTTCATTAGTCGACTGATTTTGGAATGTGCGACTATTCACCATCAACAGGTCCTACCAAGAATCAAATGACTTCAATTTAAATCGCTTCGAGTCAATGAAATGTGACCCAATTATTTTTTGTTCAACTATCAGTCATCTCGTTTCAAACAAATCAGATCACTGCAATACTTAAAAACGATGCAACATTTTTATATTTTGCAAACGAATATAAATCAAATGCTTTATAAAAGAAGTTTAATCACATTCCCTCCTTCCGCTCCATATGAATTCGATATTATGCATCGATTGTGAGTTATCAGCCATGACGCTATCACCGAAACATTTTATGTATGAATGTGGAAAAAAGAAGCGAAATCACAAAATATTTCACTGAGTATCGCCGTGCTCGACTGCGAGTGGGTGAAACGATTCGAGGTGCATTGGAAAAAGCAAAAGAGTAGGAAGAAAAGCAGTCATAATTTCAGTGCTGAATATTTTGATTATTGTGTGGAGCGCAAAAAGATGTGCATAATTAGGTAGACTGCATTACTCATACATTCCTTTTTCAACGTTATCTGACAACGACATTGGATTTCTTGTATGGAACTGATTTCATGAAAAATGATTAGGTTTATCAGTTTCTCTTGCTTTTTATGATCTGTTTTAGAGCAAAACATACCTCCGGTTTTCATCTAGCAACAGCCATTTTCGATCGAAAGTCATTCATTAGAGGCTAGTAAAAGTTCGTATGAAAGCAGATGATTTCACGAAAGCAGATGCTAAAAGGTGGGTGGTTCGAGAGGAAGTCGTGAAGGATTTACCTATTCACTAGAGACCAATGCTCGGAGAATGATGAGATGCTTGCTTTTCAATTTACGTAAGTGATGAGCGAAGCGCAGTGATTAAGTTTTTTTCACATAGTCCAAGACAAATGTCTTTTTAGAAGGACAGTTATCAGTGTGAGAAGTTCAGGATGAGTTTTTTGGTACAACAAATTGCAGCTCATCAGTGCAATGAAACTCAATAAATCAAATTTTCGATCGTTTTTCAAAGGCTCCTTTGAGTGTTGCATCCATCCCAATCATCGTATTTTCTTTTCTTTCGGAACACTTTCGTATGATCAAGGAATATCAGAATGCTTCACTAAATTCGTCATTATTTTTTGGTTTTAATATTTAGGTGACCGGATTTCTATCAACCGTGCAAAAGAGTAAGATGAATAATATAAACCTATATTGGTGCCTTATGTAAGTTAGCACGCAAACACATGCACTCCAGCCGCACCAAGCCCTATTATATACATGTGCATCACGTTCCAATAACAAATGTTGAAATCAGCAATGTTGCGCATGTGAGCAAAATTACGCAATAAGTAGTACATCCATCACACTCACATTCCGAACCACTGCGTCAGACGACAGTTACAGACGACCGATATTGACGGTGAATGTACCCACATGCAGTGACCATCTTCTGAGTCATTTGAATCTTGCGAAATGGATTCTCATTCTGAAGGCTGCTCACAAAGTCCGTTGTAATCGCACCTCGGCCGATAAATAACGCATATTCATCGTCAGTAATAATCACTTTTTTGGTTGTCAGACGTTTGCAAATTTAGCAATCGTGCTTTCAACGAGGCAATCCAAGCTCTCTGCACGAAGTTGTGAAAGTGATTCCCTCAAAAACAATTCTAGCGATCAAGTGGATGAGTGCTGCTGACATGAGTGTCTAAAGTTACGTAGAATTTGACGAAGGCGTATAAATATTTATGCTGCAGCGGATATGTTATCGGATAAATGAGTGTTCGAACAACGTTAAGAAGATGAATGATTTCATATGATAAGATATAGCTGTCATTTAATAATATCACTCAATTGCCTGAACGACGCTCGTTTTTCGGGCGTTATGAAATGAACATTGTGCAGCTGTGATGAAATTTAGCATTAAAACGACTCAACGATTAACAATTCAAAAACCGCCGTTGTGTAATGCATGATGTGACTTTGCTCTTGTTTAAAGCCACCGCAAACGCTCACTGAATAACAGCTGTTGTCATTTTTAATCCACTCAATTCACCAGCAATTCTACGGTTTACCGACGGTATAGTAATCCTTAGCAGAATAACTCAACATCAGATTCAATGACAGGAAATGGCAAGGTCATGAGGTGCAAGTCTGATCCACTGTTAAGTTTGATCAGTCAGTCATCTTGAAAAGAGTTTGGCAAGTTCTGGTGATCTGCATATCGACGACTTGCGTGAATTTTGATTTTTCATGTTTACTGAAGAATTTGTTAGCATATACCTAACAATCAAGTATCCAGGTGGCTACATTCATACGATTGGTCATGCCGAACTCGGATATGCATTCCGATTTTGTGCATATCTCCCTCTCATTGTTCGTGTGATCCAGTTTCGGATTGTTAGCATGAAACCACCCGAACAGTGTGCTTTCATCTTGCCATAACTTTCACAATTCGAAAATGTATCCAGGAATTAATAGCAACAAACCAATAAATCTTGTGCTGTCACATTGTGAAATCCTCAGAAATTCCGGTCTCTAATTTCAATCAATCATATCGGTTTTTTGATATTTCTATTCTATTTCAAGTGGACTAACTCAATGCGCTCTCCTTTCGATGCACACATTACGGCCTACTCACTCTTATTTGCACTTACTCGCTTATATTCATCACATCGGCACAGCTCTTTCGTGTCTCTCCGCTTTCTCACATTTATCTTATGCAATTGAAATTCTTTTCAGTCTTTCATCGTCCTCTTGCAAACGTTCGTTTGCATCAAATCACATCACCATCTTCACTAGCCAAGCCAAGCCAGGCTGTCGAATGAAAAACTGACTAAAGCTTAACCACAAATTCTTGAATGATCATTCCATGAAAACTTCAACCAGCTTCAATTCGTTGAATCAAACTGCTCCAGAAAGCCGTTGATGCGTTATGCGATTGTTCTTGTTGGGCGTGAAAGATAAACAAACCAACGATTCTTTTTCTGTGCAGATGAAAAATTCAGTCAAACTTAGAGCATAAATACATCACAGGATTGCGACGTGCACACACTTACAATAGCAAAAACCTTCTGACGAAAGAAAGATGCATTCGTATCGGCACGAATTGCTGATGAATTCATTTTGGTTCCCAATTGCCCTTCAGAGAGTGGTGGCACGTTGTCATTCATAAACCATGAAAAAAAACGCTTATTGAGGTATTCATCAAACTCAACCCGTCCTTTCTTTTCTTCACTTCACGATTTTCATATAAAGTTCTTCGATTCCAGATCTGTGCAACACACATCTAACCATTATGTTACATTTCAGTGTTCAGTTCTGTCGTACGGTGCAATGTGATATTAACATAATTATAACTTCTCATTCCGTGACTAATGGATGGCAATCAGGCATGACATAATGATTTCGCACATCAGTCTCATCAGTTGTTTTTGAAACAATTACCAATAATGAATTGAAATTTATTGTTGTAATTCGGTGATTGAATTGAAAGAGTAACTAATGATGTTGTCTGTTTGCTTCTCTGATACATTCACGACGATGATTGTTTAGTTATGCAAACGGAAGTGGATTTTATTCCACTGCCATCAAGCAATTTTTGTTGTGGGATTGCGTAAGACGTCAGTCGGTGCATCAGCACTCGTTTTCCATTTTCATCATCACACTAGAATCAGCCAACTGAAATATTGATTTCTCTCAAGAAGCTAGCCGTGCTTCTATGTGCACATTCGTCTGGATAGATGAATGAATGGATGTGTGTTCTTATACTATATCCGAGCTGTAATCAGCCAGCCTATAAGGAAACGGCTGGACAAGGATCGTTGCGTTCTTGCCGACTGCAGAATGCCTCTTCTCTTACACTCGCTCATTCGTCGTTCTCGTCGTCTTTGTCGTTGTTCAGCGATATTTGCTCGCTTACTACCGTGCCATTAGCACTCGTAATCATTCCCTTAGCATATGCTTATCCCTTCATCTACCATATTCATGCGTACGTTTGAAATGCATTTGTGGTCCAAAATCACGGTTATAATCGTAGAAAACTACGTTTTTTTTAATTTGTGAAAAGGGCGAGCACATACGACAGTGAATGTGTCTTCATGCTGCCTAGTTGAAATTTAACAGCCATTACATTTCGTCAATTGAAACTCACTTTGATGTAGCAGAATCCTTCGCGGATTTGGACAAACGAGCGCCAGCTGTTTACAAAGAACAAGCTATTTCTCTTGCGCTTATATCTAGATTGCTGAATATTTTGGTTTTAGGGCTCATAAGATAATATATCATACGATATGTGAAGGTTATTTCGTGTATTCGTCGTAATATTACATGTGAATTAGTGAAAATGGGAAATTTCATTCAGGTTAGTTATAGATTTTTTTAAGTTTGAATGAAACGCATAGCAGTGTGAGAGATGCTGTTCTCCGTATGAACGGGTGGGGGTGCAGCCGAATTGATTATGCTAATTGCATTTCGCTCAGTATGATGTAATGTTTGCTGTTGAAAATATGTTGAAAAGTTCTGAGGATAGCATAAAAAATTTTATACGCTCGTATACATTCAGCACATCATTGGTGAGTCTGTGTGGAAGGTTGATTCGGATATATTTGTATGCATCAATGAATCACACAAAGAGTGTTTTTATGGTGAACGTTCGTTCGTCCGACAAGCAAAATCGATTTGAGTAGTAAGTACGTCTGAGATGCCGAACACACTGGCACTCGCGTAAGGAGTGCCGACGAAGTTATGTTATAAATGCGATAATACCTTGCTTAATGTACATAGCTAGTGGTGAATACGAAGCAATCAACTGCAGCATATTCATGGTATTTTATTGCTAAGCGACCTGTTTGATTATGATTGTGTGCGTCGATGGCAACCATCAAATATTATCCTCCTTTACGAGCGTTCCTCACTGCAGTTCAATGTTTAACACTACAGGCATCTTACGGGACTGTGAGAATGCATCAGTGCGCTTGATAATTGTATTCTCAAACCTTCAGCTGGATTGTTTTTATCCATTGGAATCGTTTTATCGCACCAGAAGTTTCAGTCACATTATACGAGTATGATTACTCGGTCATCCATTAATTTGGCCTACGTGGTACCGTGAATTTGCACAAACACGTGAAGCCGTATTTTAAGTTCGATTCAGACTCGGGCTCGCGATCAGATTTGGGCAGCAGCTGAGACTTAAAGGGAATAAAACATTATTCACTTGTGCTGTACACCCTTACGCACTCTGTAAATTGTCAGCAATGCGATAGAACTAGATGTACATACGGAATCACTTAGTGAATAATTCGCTTTGAAGAATTCGAATCATCGGGAAAGGCCAATTTTTTGCCGATATGTATAGACTGGGAGTGGCTAAAGGAATGCAATGGCTGGGTTCGGTTAACTTGAGTTCAGTTGATTAGTGATATCTGTTGAACGTTGTGTCGGTTCAGCACTAGAAGCATACGAGCCTCAGAAAAGCAACAGCGTGCATGAACAATCGATTGTGAGTAATTTTTTTTGGTATCGTAAGAAATGGAATATTCTCCACTGCATTACATTGACTCATACGATTCCAATCGCTGTTTATCTGCTTGTTTCATTGCTTCATCTAGGCAGTCATCGCCATCCTTTAGTTGCCAGTTCACGACACTGAATTGTTGATGCGTTATGAAATGACATGAAACTTTGTGTACTCTGAATATCACTGATCATGCATTGTTTAAAATCATCTTCGATTGCACGCTATCGTGTGCACTACTCAGATGGATGCGAGCAGTGACCTTTAATGATCTGCAGTCGTTTTGATATGAATTGTGCTACAGAATGAGTGCGAGATTAATAGTCGGTAATCGTCAAGATCAACAGCAACAACCCTTAGCGGACGACTTCGACAAGAAATCGCAACCGACGCCGACTCTATCGAACCTACAAACATGCGGATTTTATGTGCTTTTCTTAACGTTCACATACGGCACAATGGTATTCTCACAAACGTGCAATCTTCTCTTTATGACCTTTGCAGGTTCAATCAAAGCACTTGTTACGAACTTGTTAACGACTTGCACTTCGAGATTTGTCAAAATGTGATTTCAGATCGGAAACCACACATCGACTATCATTGCGATGAGAGTCTGGCGGGTTTAGGCGCTACAAAGGAGTGTAATAAAACAGATTGTTGGTTTAATTATAACGAAAGTCAGTTTTTATGCGATAAAGAGGAGTCGTACGATTTCGGCTCAATTAGAAGAGAGGTTCACTTCGAAAGTTTTTGTTTTTGATCACCTAGATAGAAGGAATCAATCTCAGTCAACATAATCAGTGCAATTCTCTTCGATTCCCCAATTTTCCCCCATGAGAAGGAAATGTGAATGCCTAAGTTCCACTGGTGGAGCACGTTTGGCTCCTTGAGCCTTTAGCTTGTGAGTAAGATCAAATGCTTCCGCTGATGTCGGATCTTTCGTTGGATGGAGCCAACTCATTTTAGTTATTACGAATCCGGTCATAAGCCTTCGTTTTCCAAGCGACCCTGAAGTCAACGATTTATTTTGCACATCATATTCAATCTTCAAAGCATTTTTAAATGTCAAATACGTTGATTTTGCAGTTCACTGGCGCGACACCTACGCAAATCAAACTGGGAACATTCGGGCAGAATATCGGTCTTTTAGCTGGCGCTTTTATTTTCGGAAATCTCGCCGACGCGTTTGGACGCAAAAAGGTGAATTTGTCAGGAATTGGCCTCACTGACACACTAAATCACTGCTACTAACTCAACGATGGCCAGAAAGCAAATGATTTGCATTTCATGTGTAGAAATAACACGCAAAGAGGTAATGACAGGTCAACACACTGTTTTGTCATACTGAAACATGCGTGCAGACGATACTCTTCGGTGTTAGCAAAAGATGAACAAGATTTGTTCAGATTGCAAGAAGCATTCAATGAGCAAACTTTTTGTTCAGTTCATCTGCTGAAACATCTGAAAACGAAACACTGACTTATTTGAGGTGCTCATCTTTGGAAGTCTCGGTCTTGCAATCACTGAGTTGATTACATCGTTTGCGCCAAGTTTGATTCTTTTCAATGTGTGCCGTTTCTTCGTGATGATCTTTAATGGTGGAAAACACTGGTGAGTTGTTCAGTGACTATATTAGAATATAAGATCTTTGAATTGCACATTACATACTGGAATTCTTAAAAAAAAACTGTTCAAATAACAAATTTTCGATGAATTTGTTCCATAAAATTCTTCAGGTGTATAACGAATCAGTCTTCAGTAGGGAAACCACTCGTTTGCGATGGAAAATTTGAGTTTGAAAAAAAAATATCGATGGAAGCAAAAAACAATAAAATTGTCAAAAATAAGCGATAATATGAGAAAAGTAAAAAACAGTCCCTCAACAAGCCTTCGTAATTTGTGAGCAATTAAGATAATTGATAACGCAAATCGCTCACAACGTCCACATCACTTATTTTAATGACGAGTTGACATCAGCGCTTCAAACCATTTATTTAATGAGAGATTTTCTCACTGCTCCGTGGTCGTGATCTAATTGTTAACTGATTACAGTGTTTGCAATCCATTTTTCATGGAGAATTTACCAGATCGACATCGAATGTGGGTTGCCACTGTGGTCACCTACTCGCCGACCTATATTTTATTGTCAGGTGCAGCATATTTATGTGGTGATTGGAGAACGTTAGCACGTTTCAGTGCTGCACTTACGATTGTTCCACTTGTACTGCTGTTGTGAGTTGGTGATCTCTTTATGTAGCAGAATTGCACCAACCTTATTTGTTGGATTTAACGAAAATATATTTATTCAAACATTTTATTTTTATGAGAGGATAAACCGCTAGGCAAAAATATATTCACCGTGTCAATCATTCCGCAATAAAAACAGCACACGAACCTATTTGTGTGTCTACATGATGATTCATGACACAATTCATGACATGAACATGTCTATATGACATGATACATCGTTCCGATGACGAAATTCATCAGCGTCCATTTTATGCGAAAGCATACGCTCAAATACCTCTAATTTTTGATTTTACATAAATTTGAGCTTCTAATTTCAGCTTCGTTAACGATACTCCACGATATCTGATCCTTAAAGGTAAAGAAGAAGAGGCCGAAGATGCAGCAATTACGATAACGAAATGGGATAAAAAGATTACACCTGAAGTGCGACAAAGAGTTCATGACGCTGTGAAAGCAGAAAGTGACAAGCAGGTGAGGGATATTTACCTCGATTCAGGCGTCAGCATTTGATTCAAGTTCGAGCATTTGACCAGCAACTTGACTGAGATGAGTGATGTTCACCTTCAGAAAGCAAGACAAGCAACGATGAAGCATAAATACAACATGTTGGATATTTTCAAGTCGTGGACACTCACCAAATACGACATCGTTTTTTCGATTAGTTTGTGAGTGTTCTCATCTATCGATTTCATTTGTATTATCGCTGATTTATTCTGTGAATCGTTTTGCATCGATGGGTAAATCAGCGATAATACGCTGTTGAATCTGCTGAATTTTTGTAAGACTACGTATGAGAGAGCATGTCAAAGAACTTTTATTCACCAAGCGATGTTCCTCTAAAATGCAGTAGAATTTTGAATGTAACCAGTAAGGCGGTGGTTAAAAAATACACTTATTCGTTGCATCTGTGAAGTGTGATGAGCGGAGTTCGTTGAAGATTCTCAGCGAGCTTCGTGAGTTACGGTGTGGCATACAACATGGATGCTTTGGCCGGGAATGTTTATGTGAACGTGATACTGCTCGGCGGAGCTCGCTATGCCATCAATATTATCGCTGCACTGATCGAACTTAATGTCAAGAGAGTGGGTCGTCGTCATCTTCACATAGTCTCCGTTACAACGATTGTCATCCTCATGGGAAGTCTCATGCTCACCGAATCTCTAATCCGTACGTCTCATAAACGCTTTCGTCATGAGAAACATTTTCATCAACTGAACGATGTTTTTTTTCGAATCTTCTTCTTTCTATCGCCGAACTCGATGTGGGAATTTTCAGCGATGCTAAATTCATAATCGAAACACAACTGAAGTTCGTTTCCGACTTCAAACGAAATCAACTCTGAGCAGATCGATTGCTAGATCGAACTGAACGTGATAAGTTGAGATGATCAAAACGGATGTGTTTTAGCAGCTGTTTCGATGGGATATTATTCTTCTTAACTATCCGTTGTACTGACAAAATTTTATTGCAGATCCTGAACTTGTTGAATTGAAGAAAGCTCGCATGGAAGGCAGACCAGGTTGACAATTATCTGATCGGTTACTGATCAGGAAATTAATTTTTATTTAGAATGATCACTTGACTTCTGCAATAACAACGCCTCACCAAAATTGTCAAAGGAAACGGCAAAAAATGCACATCTCTAGAGAATTGTCCCAGCGTGAAATGAGCCTTACGAAGAGCGAATACCAACTAATTCCTTCCAGCAGTTCTTCGTATCGTCATCACCAGCAATTTCACTCGTTAATATCATAACAGCAATATTCCAATGGATCAACTTTGAATCAAGTCATCATTCTCACTTCCTCAGCCACACCTCAGTGGAACCAAACTAATGTTCGGTTGTACAGTATAGGGAAGCTGTATTGTTTTCAGTCAATTCAACCATTGAATTCATCTCGGCAATAACGCGCTACTTGGCTTTACTGGCTGCTGCAATGTGTACCGAGGTGTTTGTGTTGGATTCGGTGCAGCCATCAGAGCTGTTCCCAACGCCGATTCGCAGTGGTGGTAATGCACTTATCCAGGTGTTCAACCGTCTTGGTACCATCTGCAGTCCTCTCGCGTTTATTCCGGTAAGTGAGTCTTCACCACAATATCGACAGACTTCATTTTGTCCGAAGTGATGTGTCATCTAGACTAGTGATTCTCACGTTCGGGTGCTCCATTATCCCTTTTGATGATCTAGCAGGCCGCTGTTATCCATTCCCCCCCCCCCTCAATACAAGAACTTACTATTTCTGTGTATGGAAATCTCTCAGCGGCGTGAAAGAATCAGTGCCCGAGATCGTTGTGTGGATCATTACTGCAATCGATTATGATTGCATGAAAAGCTATTGTCTATGACACGATTCTCATTCTTTTCAGACGTGTTGTATTCACTCTCTTAGCTATTGAATGTGAATACCGTTCTCCTCATGAGTTTTTCTCATTCATTTCGTCTCATTTCACTTCACAGTTCGAATCAATTTCTCATTCAGTAGCATATACTATTTACTGAATATGTTGACGAGTGTTGACAACCGAAATCAACAATACAGCAATCGAATGTCATTGTTGAACAGCATTCAACAGTTAAGCGATCAATTATAGAGTGTATTCAATAGAATGAGAATTTGACTATAATTGCTGAGCGAAATGAATGAGAAATTAGCAGAAGAGAACACTTTTGGTGATAAAAAGTATGAGGGCGGTTATAATACCTCGGAAAAGAATAAAAATCCTGTTAAAACGGTATTTAAACATAAATGGATGTAATTTCAATGTTGCCACGACAACTGCACTAAATACTAATTTCCCGACCCCACCATCACCCCTTGACATCTCCAAATTATCCAAAATGGGTAATTTCACCCCTATGAGAAGCACTGATCTAGACAGTGATTTATTGCTCTTTATCGCTACTGTTCAAACTCACATTGAACCATACTCACTTTGTGAGTATCTGATAAAGCACAGCGTATATATTGAGATTAGTTCTTTATATCACATTTATTTAGGCAGCCGCATGGGCCGCAGCACCGTATCTCTTGATGACACTGACAAGTTTGGCAGATTTGATACTGTATTCGGTGTGGATTCCGGAAACTCGAGGCAGACCGCTACCGGATAAAATGCCCGCAGACATGCACGAAACTGAAACCGAGGTTAATCCGCTGCTGATCAGTGCCACCACAACTCCAGATGACGAGCATGCACCACAAATCCGAGCTAGACATCCGACGATCAATGACTAAAATCTGCACGTTGTCAACCTCAACTCCGATTGTCTCATTTGTGTTTCGTTCTTCTGTCTGCTATCCACACAGCAGCACGCAGTCAGCTGTTTCATATCCGAATGATTCAAGTGCTGTCAAAAATGTTTTTATGAGCCTTTCAGTTCAACACCTCAATTTATCATTAATCTCCTCAAAAATCTCGTCATGATCTGTTCTCATTTCACCAAACAATCATTCTGCTCTCAATGTTGTCGTTCTATTCCGATCAAAAGCTAATTGAAATTCCACAAAAATTGACCAGTGCTTTCTGAAAGGCTTGAGCTTATTCGTTTGGACATATTGATAAGTAATTATTGACTAATTCATTTCTTTGTTATAAACTAATATTATCATCATTCATTCTTCATTCAGTGTAATCACTCTTTCCATTTTCATCACGTTTTCCATTGAAGAAAAATTATTTGTTTTTGACACAGTCTGTTAATGATAGCGGGCTTCTTTTGTATTTTATTTTCAATGGATTTTATTTCAATGGCTGCGGAAAAGATGAGGTATCAAATCTTCGGAAAGTGAATATGGTTGGAACTTTACGTCCAATTTTAGCGGGTCGCTGTTTGCGGAGATGTTACTGATTGCTTTCCGTTCGGATCTTCAGGTCGCACAGCTTCCTTCACTGATGTGTGTTCACCTTACGGCTACTGATAGTTTTCGCTTAACAATGATCAGCCAATATTTTTGTGGGTGTTTATGGGCCACTTGCGACAGAAACTCGTTTTTATTCATGTCTCATTGTTCGTGTTTCCAGTGAAAAACGAATGCTTTTATGCCAGCAGTAGCAGACTGCATGCCTTGGCAGCGACACCATTCGTCGGCTTTTAGTCAAACCACCGGCGCATTTCTTTCCAAGCATCGAGAAAAGGAATTTTCACTGCACTCTATCAAATAACCATCGTTGAATGGTTGGCTATTTGGACTCAGTGTGCACCCAAAAAGCTAGTTACTGCTCTCATTGTCCCTAAATTTCCGTTTCAATCATTAAGTTCTTTTGTGTTCTCATGTTTTTCGAGTAATCAATGCGCTTTCAAGCCAACTTTTTGAGTTGCTTTTTCTTTGAGTTCTTATCGATCAGGTCAGTAGTCTCGGTTATGGGTCTTATCAGTACGAACTGTTGTAATTGGGTCATTCAAATCTCGATATCTTGCTTTCATTAGTTTCGTATTTTTCATCTTGCCAGAAACTTGTTGTAGTTGGATCTCAGATGACGATATAACGTCCCTTGAAGGATTGCAATTCTTGGGTATTTCTTATCATGCTTTTGTTTTCATTTTTGCAGTCATCTCAAAGTAACTTCTTCGAGAGGTGGCCGAAGACAACTTACAGTTAGCTATGCAAAACTTTATGCGAGTATCTTTAAATGCTTGCTGAATGAAGCCCAAATGTGTGATAATTTTCGATAAGTTTGCTAAATTTCGGTAAAATCGAATGTTCATTAGTATTTCCTCTTCGTCCTTATTGTTCAGTCCAGCTCTTCTGTTCTCAGTTTGTCACGGAACGGTGCATGTTCCATGTTCTCCATATGAATCTAAATTTCATTTGTGAAGAAACTAACTTATTACATTATATTGTCGTTTCCTTCCAACCGTTATTATTCTCCTGGTCATCTGTCATGTTGCACTCAGCACATTCAAAATGTATGAGCAATTTTCAGTCATAACTTTTAATTAACTATTTGTTTTGCGTAATTGATCTTTCAATTCTTCTGATACTTTCGAAGCTTTTCGAAATAGATTTCATTTTTCAAAAACAAATTCTTTCGCCAGTTTATTTAGTTTTGTATGGTTTTTGATTTATAGTACGGAATATATAATATCATTTAACATTGAACATCTCTATTTGTTTTGTGTTTGTCACTTTGCGTCATAATAAAGCACACTAATCGTTGTTGATGAATATGCACCCTGAATCATTAAGGCGACACTAAATTCAATGTTGTTCTTGAATGGTGATTGCGTAACGATACTGATGAACTAACCAGCCGTTTAATAAGGGTCATTGATTGGTTCGGAAGGTGACGAGATGAGATGACCCAGTTGAATAAGTGGCATATATTTGTGAGCGGTTCAAGTGCATTCCAATGACTAACGTTTCATTCGACGGTCCGATTTTCCGACTTATTTTCATTCTACCACCTGTCATTACTATCGCTTTCTGCCTCATTCAGCAATGCCAAGCACTAACAAGGATCAAACGTGACTTCATGTATGTCTCTGATGCGAATGCTAGCGATCCGAGCTGTTTTCAGGTAATTTTATGCTTTATTCCTGTGCTTTTGCGACTGATACTGACTGATCGCACCTTCAGACATCTTCAGCGATCTGCAAAAGCACCGCATATCTCCAATGGAAATAGGCGCATCCATCAGAGCAATCGCTTCATATTGTCTCGTTTGCAGTAGTCATTCATCTTGATTAGTTAAGATAAATGTATCTTGTTTAGATCAACCAATCCGTTACGCATAATTTTGTATCTGTTTCCATTGAGAAGCTTTGGAAAATATTTGTGAGAAAGTTGTGGCCTAGTGGAAGGTAACACTTCAATAGAACCTGATTCATTCGAACTTTGCCTTCTTTTATAAGCTATTGCGGTCTATCACATATAGATTAATCATTATTTTCAACAGAGCAAGCACATCTCATTCAATGAAAGCCTTCAACAAAACAACACATCAAAATCTCATTCAAATTATGGAGATATGAGATGTCTGTGAACTCGCTTCTTTATCATACTTCTGATGTAATCGTTATTGCAAAATCTGCAAATGATCAATTATTTTGCGACACTTTTTCGAATTTCCTTTGATCGGGAAAGCTGACAATAAGAAGCGAGTCATAAATGTTGTTAGTTGGTGATTCGTTGTGTGCATCTTTTTAAACACATTCCATGCAATATGTAATTCCCATCGGCAGCACCTGAAGAAGCGTAGAATGTGTACGCTGAGAGAATGAAGGACTTGTGGTTAATTCTGAGAATTTCACTGAAACAAGCTCGATGATTTGAAGAGTGAAACGATCTTGTGGTATGCAAATGAAGCTGTGCTTCGAACAATACAATTCGCCATCGCAAACGATGGCTTTCAAATGAAAGTGTTGATCCTATACCAGTGGTTCTCACGTTCAGTTGCTCCATTACCCCTTTCGATGATGCGGCAGGCCGCCGTTACCTCCAAATTACCCAAAACGGGTACATTGATTTCCTTTGAGAAGCATTGCGTTGTTCATTATTGCAATCGATTATGATTGCATGAAAAGCTACTGTATATGACACGCTCACTTCAAACCGATTTCGATAGATTCTCATTCTTTTCAGACGTGTTCTATTCACTCTCATAACTATTTCATGCACATATTGTTCTATTGATGAGTTTTTCTCATTCATTTCGTCTCATTTCACTTCACAGTTCGAATCAATTTCTCATTCAGTAGCATATACTATTTACTGAATACCGAAGTCAACGATACAGCAATCGAATATCACTGCTCAACAACGTTCGACAGTCAAATGATCAATTATAGAGTGTGTTTAATAGAATGAGAATTTGAATTAAACTGTTCAGTGAAATGAATGAGAAATTAGCAGAAGAGAACAATTTTGGTGATAAAAGGTATAAGAGCGATTATAACACGTCGGAAAAGAATGAAAATCCTGTTAAAACGAGCCAGTGATACTCAGAAAATGAAGAATGTTGCCATCAACTAACCGAATTTGCATACCCTAGTTACAAAAACACCATTACGTAATTAAACGACCCTCCCCTCTCCCGTCCACTACCCTTTGACACCACCAAATTACCCAAAATGAGTAATTTCACCCCCTATGAGAACCACTGTCCTATACGGTATAATTCTGACGGTCACTATATTACGCATTATGCAATCAATGAATTCAACTGTTGTTTTAGAATTGTAATGACGAATGGAAAGAATCTTTTGAAATGGATTTTCGAATGAATATTACCGATTTCTATGACTTTCCACTTCATCCAGTACTTTTGACGAGAAATGGCTATATGCGCTATTGCAACATATCGGACCGTCGCACACAGTGCTATATTGATGATTGCTACGATCAGGTATGTCAAAGTCAGTTTATCCCCCTTAATGCTGAGTAGTTTGATTCATAGTTCATTTGATGGAAATGGTCATAAGTGCATAAATTTCAACTGAAATTTCGTAATCTCATCAGGAATTCAGTGTCAAAACTTTATGATGAAGTGTACTGTTCAATGATGCTTGAGTGTTTCTTGAATTATGCACGCCTCATGTCACACACACGTCACAAACATCATGTCCTCTAATGAACTCTCAAAAGAACGTTATTTTGATTATGTCAAACGCATTTCTAATTGCTCAATTCAGCCATAACACTTCAGTCAGCACATTGCTTTTCCACAATGATTCATTTCACTTGCAGTCAGCAGATCGCGTTTTCTCGCCATCAAATTTTTTGTGCAATTTCAAAAGAGAGCATTTCTTGGAAGCTCGTGAATGTCTCGAGAAGACTGAACCGTTAACATTTCTCAAATGCGACCACTCGTGTCATATGGAAGCGTTGAAAAGTGTTGAAAAGCAAGAGAGAGCCACGCTTGGCAAGGTATTCATAACCAATCAATCCTCATCTTATCTCTGTCGGTTACTTGTTCGTGAGTATCGACTGAATATGCGGTTAAGATCAGTTTTTTCATTGAAACTCATCACTTTCATCAGGCATGAATGAGCGTTTCATTTGATTTCAAGTCCTCAGCTGTTCTTCACACAACATCGTTGTGAATTTTAACAGCAAGAATTCATTTATAATAGCATCGTGTAAATTTTGAGGTATTCACGAGAAATGAGATGAGCAACTATGAACGAGAGCTGGATTTGCTGTGCACGTTTCAAGCTTGCTTTAGGGAATGTGAACAAGGTCAGTGAGTTACTCATCCTGATAATCACCAAAAGAATGGTGAATGTTAACCGTTCAATAAAGTCTATTTTGGACGTGGAACTTTCAGAAATAATCGTCGAAAGCTGTGAAGATGATAAAGCAGAGTTAGCGTTGACGTTAATATCGCAGTACATCCGATGGCATGCTTCGGATCTGTACGATTGGCACATCCTTTCAGAAACCATGCAACACTTTCCGAGCAGTTGTCAACGGCTCGTTCTATCACAGCCGGATGCAGATCCTGTCATTCGAATTATGAATGCAGTGCAATGAATTCAGCTGGCGTTATTCGTTGTGTATGTACATATGTGGTGTGCACTAATAAACATTACTTAATATTCAATAGATTACGTGAACTGTGTCTGTAACATTTAAAAATACAGAATGTTATGGAGCGTTTCAATGCATCCTCATTGCTGGCCTCAAACCGGGGTTGGGTTGGAGACGTGATCAGGTTCGAGAATATCGAAAGTATGGGGTTTGGTCAAGAATTCTGGGATTCATATGAAGGCTCGAGAATCTTGGACTCAGCTGACATCATCATCAGTCCATTCCATCATTCCTAAAACTCAGTTTAACCCTTGGCGAATCAATTCGGCAAAAATGAGCTCGATTCATGACAAGAGTTTTACATTTTTTGGAACCACTTTTTCAGAAACTTGTAGGGATGATATTCAAGAACTGCTAAGAAGTTCATAACTAATTAGCTCACACTGGTCATCCTGCAAGCTCTCCAGTGACTATAAACCAAATAGTGTGATATCCAGCACTTGATCAACTAAAATCTATTTAAAGCAGAATTAGACTGTCAAAAATAATTTCATCTTTGTCAAATCTGACAAATTTACTCGTTATATCTCAAAATGCATACATTTGAATGAGTCTCGAAACAGCAACAAAATACAGCGATGAGAATTAGTATGGCAGATGAGCATTCTTGGCGAACTGGACCCGCGGTGGAGTGTTGATGATTATTTGATGATTCCGCATAGAAAAACGAATCGGATCAGAAGTGCTATCTATATTGCACGTCACGCATACGTCACACTCAGAAGCATTTCCCCTTCACGAGACCAGTCGCACAACAAATAATGCCTCAGCAATAAACGATATTTGTCTGAGAAAAGCATGTAAATCGCTATGTTGCACGATGCATTCACAATCACCTGAAAATAAAATTAGCCTGAAATCTTGCTCTGAGTTTTTCGCTGAATATTAGTCAGGAAAATGATGCACTTTGTTTAATTAGGATTTGATACTAAGGGAACGTATCGGTCGGTTATTCTAAAATCTGGTGGACGTGTGACGAGCAATGTGATTAGTTCGCAAGATGATACATTGTAGAACTCGCTTCGAAACTTTAAACATTCAAAACGAAATTTCGCTGAACACGATTAGTAGTCGTATGCCTTTGGTGAATCAAAAAAAATTATTTTGCTGTGTTCTTTTTTCTGGTTGGTAATTATCATACTTCCACAAATTGGAACCAATGCTGTCGTCAATGGCTGTTTGAGTTACCACACAAATTATGCTACATGAATTATCCACTTATTACAGAGAGTGTGTCATTATGTGAGTAAAGAACTCTGACCTGACGTGTAACACTTCCGAGTACATGTTTAAACTGCATGGAAAAGAATAATTTGCATAATTCACTTCGAGAATACTTTCTTGCTTGCATCCAGCGCGGTGCATTCCTATCGAACCAAAAGGAAAATCAAAAACAAATTTATATTCTTGCGCTGGTTAAAACCGAAAACCAAGATGTGCACCAGTCTAAGATTACTGCCGAAGAGGTAGTGAACGAATCTTTGTGCTCATTTACAATTGCACGAAAAGAAAGAGTGATCGCTTTTGTAATTGATTCGAGTAACTCACGAGGAAGTTATTGTAAGTGACAAGTGATACATAAATCTCGTTTTCGTAGCCAACATTCTCGAGAATGTTCACGACGAACGCTAGTGTATTGCACGATAGGAAGACAAGCACTATTGCGACGAGCATTATAGATGTCTGTCGCTCTTTTCGATCGGCACGTTTCGTTCCTTCGTCTTGAGAACCGCGATTATGCAGACGATTCGAACGACGTACCGCAAACAGCACCTTAACATGAATCACTTTTGCTTCCATCGTGGAAATAATAAATCAGCTGAAATCTCAAGAAGAAGAGGAAACCTGTGAGTTCAAGATGATGAGTATGGAGAATGGCACGATAAACATCAGAATTGTGTAGGCCCATCCAAAGAAAATCAGTCGATAGGTGGCGTTCAGTCGTAGATCAGATGGACTCAGCACTGGTATATAGGCATTTATGTTCCTTCGAAAGCAATTATTTACAACGCGAACCTGGAAAGCGATGCACATGATGGTTCTATTGAATAATAACCGAGACAGAATGCCATCGATCGCTTCATTCTCTAAGCGTACTGTAGATTTGCTATGTATCACCGTTAATCCATGTGCAGATGTTCACGGTTTGCTTACGCAATAGTTGCGTGGCAATCAAAGCACATTCGGATACTTCTTGCTGTGTTCTGAAGGCTGTTCTGATATGTTCCCGCAAGCTTTTAAGTGGTTGCGTTCGAATAACACAGCACTGCATAAGAACGAAACAGTTCAGTAGGGATACGAGTGGCATTAACTGTGAATCATTAACAGCCATTAACTAGATACTGTAATGAAAACCGTCATAAATCAAGTTGGAACGTTGACCCTCATGTTGTTTTCCGCAAATATCAATGTTTTTCGCAAGCAGACTCGCAAATATCAATGTTTTGCACTGTTCTGATTTAGTTGATGCAAACATTGCTCGTTTACATGCATTCCAAAGATATTCACATGAAGTGAACATATGAACCAAGAATTTTGAACGCTTTCCCCTTGTTGAGGCACGAGTTCTCTATTCGTCACGAACGAAGAGTGCCAGTAATGCCCGTCAATCCAACACATATCGTATTTCTTCGCACTACTACACTCATATCTCTAATTAAGTTATCTCCAATAAAACACTCAACATATGCCTCATTCGTATCATCATTAATACAGAGAATGTTTTGCATCGTTCATTACTTTAGATCAAACGTGACGAAATTTTTTAACTTAATAGATTGCAAGTGTTTATCATTTTTACTATCTGATGAGTCAATTTCTAAACGACAGTGAAATAGAACGTGAGGTGTCAACTGAGAAAAAAATTTTGGTGAGTTCGTGCATTCGTTAGAATTCAGTTGATATTGCTCACAATCAGCAACCACGCTTGCTTAATCAAATGGTACGTCTTCAGCCTCTACATTTACCTTTTTTCGATTGAAAATTATCCTTTTTGGATCTGTTCTCTGCACATCTGCAAGTAAGCTAAAGCCAGCTTTGCCAATAAGTCTACTTGATTGATCGTTCACAAAGCAAAACGTAATGATGTGGGCAAAATTCACCTCAAAAAATCGAGTCGTATTGAACAGCAGTGAGAAGACGAGAAGTGATATAATGAAAATACGAACGCGCTTTGTTTCGAGCAGAAAGGACGCTTTGAACGGTAGGCACACACCAATATAACGATGTACTGACATACCTGTTGTCATCCATACGCTGTAAGATTAATTATGCATGCGGCTTATCACCTTCCTGAATCACCAACACCAATTTGAACTGGCTCCGAAGTTATATTTTCAAATAAACTCCTGCTGGAAAGTTTATTACATTAATGTCAGATGCAAGTTGAGTTGCGTTCGCTGTACTTTGCAGATCAAATTTGCTTAATGGCTGTCCACTGCACTGCAGGAATGTCGTCTGCATTTTTTTCGACTCTTTTCATGATCCGTTGAAATCGAATCTCATTTTCAATAAGATTTCATGGAAGGGAAAAGACCTATACCGTTAGGTGAGAATCGAATTGTGAAAAGATAACCTGATTGTCTGAGACAGTGTCATTAGGCCGTACATGTATGGAGCGACCCAATAGCTGCAAACGAAATAAGTTAATTGCACTTTATAGTTCGTTGTTTTTAGCTGCTCACTTCAGTAAAAAGTGTGCCGTGAAACAAAGAATTTCCCGATGCGATCATTAGCAACTGCAAAAAACTTCGACTGTGTGTGTGCAGTTTGCATGAAAATTCTGACCCGCGAGAGTAGTCTTTCTCGCACGCAAACTTATTCATTAATCCCATAGCACTGAGCCATTAATAATTACAAAGCGCGTTCCTTGTGCGTGTGTGTCTCATTTGGATGGAAATGTAAGTGATTAATATTAACGAACAAATATAAATGATGAGTCGTGAAACGCTCTTAGGATGTCAGATGACATAAATTTTCGACAAAAAATTTTGCACAGAGATGACAAGATTCAAACATTCAATAGCTATTTGACGTTGACGCACTGTCAAAGGCAAGTGTTGAAACAGCATAGAAACAAGGATTTCTGAAAAAGTTTTTGTGAGAATAAAGAAACCAAGAGAACTATCGTTGTCTTAAACCCCTTAATTGCAATATTAGTGAGGTGACTTTTTTTACGATCAAATTTGTTCATCCCCTAGATAGTTTTCCGTTTTCGCTCGAATTCGTTGAAAATTTATTGATACTGAACTTGTTTTGCTCTATTTCCATCAATTCACCTTCCAGTTCCCTACTGTAATGTTTTCAGTGTTGAATTAGTTCAAATCACTGATTTGAAAGTCCGTCTGAGCGAAAATAGTTTTATCAGTTGTTCATCCGTAATCAAACAGTGATCTCAGAATGGATGCATAAAATTCAATTTGGAACAGTCAGTGTTTCACAGATTGAGTTACGAAGAAGCAGCGTTCATTGCAGCAAAATTGTTCGAGCATTGCAATCGAGCATCAGCACAGTTGCAGACGGGCATCTACTGTGAAGGAATGCAATCGTTTGAGCAATGCTGCATACTTAATGATTACTTCCACAGAAATTTTTCAATGCAACGACCAAGGAAGATGGAAAACGAAACGATGACGGATTATAAATATTGGAGTAATTTTGACATTGAAATAATCGAAAATGATGTGCCAGCTAGAAAATTCGTTTAAAAAATCCCTCGTGAATAGTGTTTGAATAAACACGCTCGACGTCATTCAACTTATGCCTATTTACTGCACAACTGATGGTTAATTCAACGTTTATGACATTATAATGTCGTTCGCTCACAACTGCCATTCAATACCCTTTCATCCATCCAGAGACCTTTAGGCAACCGCATACATTTGCGTTGACATTTCGTAGTATTGCATTTAATTATACCGATTATTGAAGAAAACATGTTTATGAAAGTAAAAAGTCCCTTCATTAGAAGTCATGATAAATTCTGCCCCAACTAATCTGAATATGTTGCTGATGCTGATCATTGCTTAAAGGATGATTGAAACTCTCATCTAGCGGCTGTATAGGATACATTCTTTTCTAAATTCTTTTAAATAGTCCATCAAATTGAATAAACTCTTTCATTTATTCGAGGAATTGTTCTATCTCCGTGAATTCCTTTTTGCTCAAACTTTCGCGATGATTGAAACTTTTTATAATGTGCTTAAAAATGAATTTTTGAATTCAATTTGCACTTTTCCTTCTAACTCACATCAAATTTGATTTTTGGTGTTGATTGGCCGTTGTGGTTGCGTGCCTCGCAAGTTATTATAGCAAAAGACGAGCTGGATTGTGCTACTTTACCGAGAGATCACAAAGACTGTCTATGAACGACAATAAAATGTTGCATTGCGCAATCCCTCGTCAACAAGTCGCAGTAACGGAATATGGTGGCCACCGATCCCCTGAGGACGCATAAATCACAAATGAACTTCGAGCTTAACTTCAGTGCTTATAAAAGATTCAACATGTTGATAGCGAATGAGATAGATGGAACACTGAATGGAACATTCGGATTGTTTCTGGTCGGATGCATTCAATCAAATGAATTATTAATCAATCTCGCCGTCAGTCTACGCTTAAATCAATCCAAATGGAATGAATTTTTCAGCTGTCTTAGTGATGCTATCACAGCCTCGTTTTCAGATACGTTAGTAGTTAGTTCCAGAACTCTATCGAGCGTTTTCACTCGGATAGAAATTACGTGCTGAATACGAGCGAAACTTTCGTATCAATATTGAAATGTTGCAACACTAACAAAATCTTCAATCGAAGATTTCGGGAATAAGTTCACAAAATTCGTTGAAATTCAAAGTTGCGGATGAGGTCAGGCTGATGAAGCCATTCATTCATTACGACTGTTTGTTTTGATTTAGTAATTTGACTGTAACTAAAAACACGCTTGTTTTTCACTGCTCAGTGGGAACGACGCATAACATAACATATTCGTCCATGCCCGCGCTGATAAATCATTCAAATTCCCAAAGGAGATTCAATCGATATTCGTTTATTTCCGAGTTTGATGCGCACATAAAATTGAGAATCCACAGAATTCAACAACAAAAAACTTCCAACGATATGTACCGTTTGAAAATGAGCGATTCCAAAAATATAATAGCTGCCGAATTCAACCTAACTTCTTGGAAACATGCTTGGATTAAAATAAATTCTTATTATGCAGATGATTTTAGATAAGAAGCAATTGATTATTCGAATTTTTTCATTTCTAATTTAATTTATTCTTTATCTGCCGAATTCTGAATTACAGTTCACATGGTCAATCCAGATTAAGCTAATGTAACCATTATGATGTGTTTGTATTATTTGTTGTTATAAATAGAGATCGGTAGACACTTGAAATTCAAAGATTGTTGTCAGCTTGTTTCTCATAATTTATTGTTGTTCTGAAACTGATTTGTGCCACGTTAAGTTTTCGGTGCCGAACGTTTCAAGGTGTGATATCTTGCTCGGTATGTGCACTTGCTTGAAACGTTGAGGTGCAACACACTTGAGTCGATTGCAGATGTGAGACAGCACTGAGCACTGTTAATTATTCATTTTTCGATCACTCAAGTAGGTACGAATCACTGGAGACAAGGTTGAACTTTTGTTGACGACGGAAGTTTGCTTACGGTTTTGAGATTGGTCATTTCGACTCAAATGAATGATGTTCACTGCCAAAAAACTTTAAACTAATACTTTGATATTCGCTACAATATGGGCTGAGGACGTGATGAAATCTTTCCATCGTACACATCCTGAATTATGCTTTATCAACACTCCAGTAAATCATCCTCGTTGATCGAGCGGAAACGCTAATTAATGCTTCATATTATGATAATATTATTATCGTTATCATCTCTGCAAACCATACAGATCAAACTTCGATCAAACTCACTCCTCGATACCATTTCAAAACCAGAAAGTTGTTCTAAACATTTGTTTATTGACAGATTATTCCATGCATGTAACTTCACGACAGTAATCTCGCCAAGAGTAAACGTTTAATGAAGAACAGCAAAGAATTTTTAAACATTCGGTTGCTGGGTCGTTTTAAAGTTCAGTTTGATGGATGTAAACGATTTGGTTCACATAATTGTAAAATGGTGATCACTGGAAACTGGTTAAAGACGAAGAGGAATGAGACTGTGTGAGTGTCTACTTGAAATATCAGCCTAAATAACGTACTGGCTCAAATAATCCCCCGATAAATCCACTCAGAATATGACCACTCCTCGATCGAAAAAAGAATTTTAGAAATCTATGTCCCCTTCAACAAACTCCTCTTTTAGCCTGGATTCCTCTCAAAAAAACCCTCAGAGAAACTGCTATCACTATGTAATAGATCTCCTTTCCTTTATCTTCAAATTGTTTCTTACCTCAAAAATTCTCAGCAATTTCTAGTCCCGAAGGTTCTCCATCAATAAAGTACAACATATCCTGTTATAAATAACATTTCACCTCGGTTATCGGTGACCATGCGGGAGCGACCATTCAAGAGTTATATTTGCTATGCAGTTACAGCTATCTTTCTAATCAGCGAGTTTTCAAGAAAACATCAAATGTAGGCAAAAAGTGAGATACAACGAATCAGCATTTCAGAGCAAATTCCAAATGGAACGCAAGCCTTCAAAACTTCCTTTTCAAATGAACTCGCCTTGATTAACCGAAATAAATGTTCTCTCGAACTCATGATATTTTAGTGAAACAATTTAAAACCTTTGAACGAGCACCCCGAAAGGCGATTAAATCCTTACCGTTGTTCACATTATGAGTTATCGAAAATTCACTATGAAAATACAAAATGCCTCACTTATTTCCCGAAATAAGTTACGACAAAAACAAATGCAGCCAAAAGTTTCGAAGCTGTTGCCTAGTGTTGTGCTCTGCTCCTTTAATATCTCTAATGTTCTGTTTTGTTCCAATTTTGGAACTGTACGGTTTCAATGCGGTGCTACAGAACAGGAATAGGATGGTTCTGCAACCGGAACATGCAGGTCACAAGCCATCATAATCAAGGCTACTTGCTGTTAGCATTGCTTGCATTCGATTCGCTTCAACTGTGCTAGCGTTAGCTTGCATCCGAAGACGCTTCACCGAAAACTTTTCATCTATGTGTGAGCAGATGAGTGCAGTCGTTGACATGAAGTGATGTGCATTCATGTACTTTTCGATAGCAGTTTGAATATTTCAAGTACGTATTTCTACACTC